CGAAGGAGCCTTTGGATGATAGCCAAAGTGTTTTAACAGAGGAAGGAAGGAGCGATACTGAAATCCAAAGAAGCATTGTGATTGCCAAAGTTTTTTAATAGAGGACGGAAAAGGCGACAGTGAAATTCAAAAGAGCCTTCGAATAGCCAAGAGTTTTAACAGAGGACGGAAAAGCGACACTGAAATGCAAAGGAGCCTTGTGATAGCCAAAGTGTTTTAACAGAGGAAGGAAGGAGCGATACTGAAATCCAAAGAAGCATTGTGATTGCCAAAGTTTTTTTAATAGAGGACGGAAAAGACAGTGAAATTCAAAAGAGCCTTCGAATAGCCAAGAGTTTTAACAGAGGACGGAAAAAGCGACACTGAAATGCGAAGGAGCCTTGTGATAGCCAAAGTGTTTTAACAGAGGAAGGAAGGAGCGATACTGAAATCCAAAGAAGCATTGTGATTGCCAAAGTTTTTTTTTAATAGAGGACGGAAAAAGGACAGTGAAATTCAAAAGAGCCTTCGAATAGCCAAGAGTTTTAACAGAGGACGGAAAAAGCGACACTGAAATGCGAAGGAGCCTTGTGATAGCCAAAGTGTTTTAACAGAGGAAGGAAGGAGCGATACTGAAATAAAGAAGCATTGTGATTGCCAAAGTTTTTTAATAGAGGACGGAAAAGCGACAGTGAAATTCAAAAAGAGCCTTCGAATAGCCAAGTTTTTTAACAGAGGACGGAAAAAGCGACACTGAAATGCGAAGGAGCCTTAGCCAAAGTGTTTTAACAGAGGAAGGAAGGAGCGATACTGAAATCCAAAGAAGCATTGTGATTGCCAAAGTTTTTTTAATAGAGGCGGAAAAAGCGACAGTGAAATTCAAAAGAGCCTTCGAATAGCCAAGAGTTTTAACAGAGGACGGAAAAAGCGACACTGAAATGCGAAGGAGCCTTGTGATAGCCAAAGTGTTTTAACAGAAGAAGAAAGGAGCGATACTGAAATCCAAAGAAGCATTGTGATTGCCAAAGTTTTTTTAATAGAGGACGGAAAAGGCGACAGTGAAATTCAAAAGAGCCTTCGAATAGCCAAGAGTTTTAACAGAGGACGGAAAAAGCGACACTGAAATGCGAAGGAGCCTTGTGATAGCCAAAGTGTTTTAACAGAGGAAGGAAGGAGCGATACTGAAATCCAAAGAAGCATTGTGATTGCCAAAGTTTTTTTAATAGAGGACGGAAAAGGCGACAGTGAAATTCAAAAGAGCCTTCGAATAGCCAAGAGTTTTAACAGAGGACGGAAAAAGCGACACTGAAATGCGAAGGAGCCTTGTGATAGCCAAAGTGTTTTAACAGAGGAAGGAAGGAGCGATACTGAAATCCAAAGAAGCATTGTGATTGCCAAAGTTTTTTTAATAGAGGACGGAAAAGGCGACAGTGAAATTCAAAAGAGCATTCGAATAGCCAAGAGTTTTAACAGAGGACGGAAAAAGCGACACTGAAATTCGAAGGAGCCTTGTGATAGCCAAAGTGTTTTAACAGAGGAAGGAAGGAGCGATACTGAAATCCAAAGAAGCATTGTGATTGCCAAAGTTTTTTTAATAGAGGACGGAAAAGGCGACAGTGAAATTCAAAAGAGCCTTCGAATAGCCAAGAGTTTTAACAGAGGACGGAAAAAGCGACACTGAAATGCGAAGGAGCCTTGTGATAGCCAAAGTGTTTTAACAGGGGAAGGAAGGAGCGATACTGAAATCCAAAGAAGCATTGTGATTGCCAAAAAGTTTTTTTAATAGAGGACGGAAAAGGCGACAGTGAAATTCAAAAGAGCCTTCGAATAGCCAAGAGTTTTTAACAGAGGACGGAAAAAGCGACACTGAAATGCGAAGGAGCCTTGTGATAGCCAAAGTGTTTTAACAGAGGAAGGAAGGAGCGATACTGAAATCCAAAGAAGCATTGTGATTGCCAAAGTTTTTTAATAGAGGACGGAAAAGGCGACAGTGAAATTCAAAAGAGCCTTCGAATAGCCAAGAGTTTTAACAGAGGACGGAAAAAGGACACTGAAATGCGAAGGAGCCTTGTGATAGCCAAAGTGTTTTAACAGAGGAAGGAAGGAGCGATACTGAAATCCAAAGAAGCATTGTGATTGCCAAAGTTTTTTAATAGAGGACGGAAAAGGCGACAGTGAAATTCAAAGAGCCTTCGAATAGCCAAGAGTTTTAACAGAGGACGGAAAAAGCGACACTGAAATGCGAAGGAGCCAGTGATAGCCAAAGTGTTTTAACAGAGGAAGGAAGGAGCGATACTGAAATCCAAAGAAGCATTGTGATTGCCAAAGTTTTTTAATAGAGGACGGAAAAGGACAGTGAAATTCAAAAGAGCCTTCGAATAGCCAAGAGTTTTAACAGAGGACGGAAAAGCGACACTGAAATGCGAAGGAGCGATGATAGCCAAAGTGTTTTAACAGAGGAAGGAAGGAGCGATACTGAAATCCAAAGAAGCATTGTGATTGCCAAAGTTTTTTTAATAGAGGACGGAAAAGGCGACAGTGAAATTCAAAAGAGCCTTCGAATAGCCAAGAGTTTTAACAGAGGACGGAAAAAGCGACACTGAAATGCGAAGGAGCCTTGTGATAGCCAAAGTGTTTAACAGAGGAAGGAAGGAGCGATACTGAAATCCAAAGAAGCATTGTGATTGCCAAAGTTTTTTTAATAGAGGACGGAAAAAGCGACAGTGAAATTCAAAAGAGCCTTCGAATAGCCAAGAGTTTTAACAGAGGACGGAAAAAGCGACACTGAAATGCGAAGGAGCCTTGTGATAGCCAAAGTGTTTTAACAGAGGAAGGAAGGAGCGATACTGAAATCCAAAGAAGCATTGTGATTGCCAAATTTTTTTTTAATAGAGGACGGAAAAGGCGACAGTGAAATTCAAAAGAGCCTTCGAATAGCCAAGAGTTTTAACAGAGGACGGAAAAAGCGACACTGAAATGCGAAGGAGCCTTGATAGCCAAAGTGTTTTAACAGAGGAAGGAAGGAGCGATACTGAAATCCAAAAGAAGCATTGTGATTGCCAAAGTTTTTTTTAATAGAGGACGGAAAAAGCGACAGTGAAATTCAAAAAGAGCCTTCGAATAGCCAAGAGTTTTAACAGAGGACGGAAAAAAGCGACACTGAAATGCGAAGGAGGACGCCTTGTGATAGCCAAAGTGTTTTAACAGAGGAAGGAAGGAGCGATACTGAAATCCAAAGAAGCATTGTGATTGCCAAAGTTTTTTAATAGAGGACGGAAAAGGCGACAGTGAAATTCAAAAGAGCCTTCGAATAGCCAAGAGTTTTAACAGAGGACGGAAAAAGCGACACTGAAATGCGAAGGAGCCTTGTGATAGCCAAAGTGTTTTAACAGAGGAAGGAAGGAGCGATACTGAAATCCAAAAGAAGCATTGTGATTGCCAAAGTTTTTTTTAATAGAGGACGGAAAAGGCGACAGTGAAATTCAAAAGAGCCTTCGAATAGCCAAGATTTTAACAGAGGACGGAAAAGCGACACTGAAATGCAAGAAGGAGCCTTGTGATAGCCAAAGTGTTTTAACAGAGGAAGGAAGGAGCGATACTGAAATCCAAAAAAAAATCCAAAGAAGCATTGTGATTGCCAAAGTTTTTTAATAGAGGACGGAAAAGCGACAGTGAAATTCAAAAGAGCCTTCGAATAGCCAAGAGTTTTAACAGAGGACGGAAAAAGCGACACTGAAATGCGAAGGAGCCTTGATAGCCAAAGTGTTTTAACAGAGGAAGGAAGGAGCGATACTGAAATCCAAAGTGTTTTTTTAACAGAGGAAGGAAAAAGGACAGTGAAATAAAAGAGCTTCGAAATCCAAGAGTTTTAACAGAGGACGGAAAAAGGACACTGAAATTGCCAAAGGAATTTTTTTTAAAGTAGAGGACGGAAAAAGCGACAGTGAAATTCAAAAGAGCCTTCGAATAGCCAAATAGTTTTAACAGAGGACGGAAAAAGCGACACTGAAATGCGAAGGAGCCTTGTGATAGCCAAAGTGTTTTTTAACAGAGGAAGGAAGGAGCGATACTGAAATCCAAAGAAGCATTGTGATTGCCAAAGTTTTTTTAATAGAGGACGGAAAAAGCGACAGTGAAATTCAAAAGAGCCTTCGAATAGCCAAGAGTTTTAACAGAGGACGGAAAAAGCGACACTGAAATTCGAAGGAGCCTTGGGATAGCCAAAGTGTTTTAACAGAGGAAGGAAGGAGCGATACTGAAATCCAAAGAAGCATTGTGATTGCCAAAGTTTTTTTTAATCGAGGACGGAAAAAGCGACAGTGAAATTCAAAAGAGCCTTCGAATAGCCAAGAGTTTTAACAGAGGACGGAAAAAGCGACACTGAAATGCGAAGGAGCCTTGGGATAGCCAAAGTGTTTTAACAGAGGAAGGGAATTGTGATACTGAAATCCACAGGCCTGTTCGGATAGCCATAGATACCTTCCAAAATCTAAGCAGGTTACTAGGAAAAAAAAAAACTTTGCTAGAAACAAAGAAAAGAGTATAAAAATGCGAGAAGAATGTATTGTGTATAAACTACCAACAGACAGAATGCATAGTTATCAGCAAAAGTGTGAGTCCAAAATTCAAATTACAAATTTGTGATACTAACATCAAAAAAGTAATTTAAACATCTGTGCAGTGTCCTACAGTTCTAACTGCTTGGCATTAATGTCAATATCTTTTTTGTGTCATTATTATCTCTTCGGGGGTATATGTGATATTCATTTTAATTACTGCTGCTGTATAGAATCCTAAAGTTATGTGGTTTCTGCTTTCTCGTAAAATCTTTTGTTTGTGTTTCTGTAGCGCCAGTCCAAGAGATACAATGAAGTTTTCATTCGTACAAAACCTCTTTTATGCTCATTGATCTGAAACAAGCGGTTTTATACATCGGAGAATTTAGACATTTCTGAACTAAATGGACGTACATATGAGAATCTAGATCTGATGAGGCTACTTAAAAAGCAGTTACCATTACTTTAAATATGATAGATAGGTTTATAAACAAGCTCAGTTAGATATGAAGTAAGTGAGATTGATATGAAAAAACACAGATAGATATGAGAAGCCATAGATAGATAGATAGATAGATAGATAGATAGATAGACAGACATGAATAGCAGAGAGAAATATATTGATAGATATGAAGAAACTCAGATAGATACATAGATAGATAGGATTATGCACAGACTGGGATAGATAGATTCAAGATATATAAGATTATGAAAAGACTAAAGTAGATGGATCGGTAGATAGATATATACACATAAATATGTAGCGATTGAGATAGATAGATAGATAGTTTTATGAACGTATATATATATATATATATATTGTCATCCACAGACAGATTGTTTCGCTGTATATCAGTGTGTCTAGACGTCCGGTTGCCTCTAGCTAGGATCGAAACCCGACTGAATTCGCGGGGATTCTACCACTAAGCCTTTGACGCACGACAGGGATGAAGGTGAATTTAAGCGCATTTATTTTTAGACAAACACACAGTGACTGAAAGAACTCGATTCGATTTACCGAAGAGTCTTGCATTATTAGCCGTAATAGTCACTGTTTACAAACCCACACATGCTCCCCCTGTGAGCTCAATATATATATATATATATATATATATATATATATATATATATATATATAAAAAAAAATTTGATTGAAAAAAAAATTTATACTTTGTTTTATTGAAAAAATATTTTTTTTCAATAAATCCACATTTTTAAAAAAACGTTTGCGGCACCCCTCTTCTTTTTAATATACATACTTTTCTCTCGTTGGAACCACTACAACATATTTCTTTTATATATATATATATTTATGAAATGAGTCAGATCAATAGATAGACTAATAGATAGGGTTATGTAAAAACTTAGCAAGTGAGTGAAATATGATAGATAGATAGATAGATAGATAGATAGATAGATAGATAGATAGATAGATAGGTAGGAAGTGACCTACGAGGGGTACATAAAGAATATGAAGTATTTCAATTCGCTGCCGAACAGCTAGGCGAAATATCCGTTGATAAGTTCGCTGTTATTGAACGGAATATGCTGACTGTCATTCGAGGAACAAAAATATTTAAGTTCAGTTAATCAAGTCCAAGAAGTGTCGTGGAGAAAACCGTTGTAATCGTTAAATTTTATATCATAATCATTGAAAGTTGGAAGCCGTAAAAGAGACCATATTAATTAGCAGTTTACAAAAGCTGTATTATCAAAGGATTTTAAAAATAATTTCACCAACCTTTGTTCTGTTTCGTTTGATCAAATAGCAGTATCGGGTAGTAAGAGAAGATGAAGCCATAATTAACGTAACATTTTCACACAAAATGACTTCGAGTCCTATATACGAACCTAAAATGATTTCAGGTTATTTTTTTCTATCTCTTGTAGTTTTAGAGTAATGGAAAGCGACTTAGACTTAGGAAACAAGAATCAAGTTTGAATTACAGTGTAACACCTATTCTGACCCCAGTGGATTGATGTACTCTACAAGACCGGCTTTTGGTCCTGCCCTGATCCAGTATTACAGGTTCAATCAAAGTCTCCGGTTTCCAGTGTCGATTCGATTCCACTTTCCAGCCACGTTGTGATTATTTTGATCCTGGAGAGCAATTAACAAATCGTAGATCCCGGAAGATTCAGCTGGTCTACCTTCAAGTTTGTTGGGGCAAGAATCGGACCAAGCAGAAAAATCAAACATGAACAAGTCGATTCGAGTCCAAAGAAAAAATTTATATATATGTATATAAGGAAGAAATTGGTGCAAAAAGAAGAATGCTTCTGTTACAAGAAAGTAGTTTATATGAAATAAAGTCCAGAAAAAAAATATTGCAAATAATTCTGAAAGGAGAGAAGTAGTTTTAGGGTTCAACCTTTTTGTTCTTAATAGTTGCCGTAATTATTTGACTATCAGGATATAAAGAGGGGTTCACTGCGCCAATATTACAGATAACATGAGTTCACTTCCTCACTCATTGTAGCAGCAGCAAGCGGAAGCTTTCACTCTCATTGCCTCTCTCTCTCTCTCTCTCTCTCTTGTCGACAGCTATTAGGTTGGTGCAAAAATAATGACGTAATAATGTCGTTTTTTAACGTATTTTTAACGTCAAAAAACGACATTGTTACGTCACTATTTTTGCACCAACCTAATACTTCGACTCGACTCCGACTGACTGACTCGACATTCTCGACCGTTTGTCTTCGCACAAATACGCGATTAAATAAACGCGGCGGTAGGCGACAAAAAACTCGAGGTGTGGGTAACCTTAGAATACAACTTGATTACTGACCTCTCCCCCTCCATGATTAAACGAACAACCTCTTCTCCCCACTTTGAATTCCATAGTTCATATGAACACTATTGTTTTGACATTTTACATTAATAATTCTGACGAAGCACAGATTCTCTTGGCACAGACTTCACCCAGATTATTTTTCTCATCTATATTCTTCATTACTATAGCTATTTATATTTCAAGGGTGACCATTGCTCTCTGCCACACCAGTCGAGTTCATTAAATTCACTTACGTTCCAATATCCTTGAGAAAGGTATGTATCCAAATCTTCTCTTCCTAGATGTGAGGAAATAGCATGACAGACAGAGTCCTATAGCCTTGGTTGGCAACTGGTCTAGGCGAAGGAAAACTTTGAATTCAAAACCAGCTTCGAGAAGGCTGTGATCCGCCAGGCTACCTTGCCGAAGAAACACCACTGCTACTGCGGCTGCAGTACATGTGTTGGCCATTAGACCCTAATGCTTTACGGGTTTCGTGATCGTGATTTTGAGGTTTGAAATTTGCAGCAACTAACGCTGAGCATTAGAAATTAAAGAAACAAACGATAGAAAGTGCTTTAGCAGATGACGAAAACCGTGTTCAAGAAATCTGAAGACGCACAGGAAGTACGGAAGTTGCTTTCCAGAAACTGAGCAAAATATTAAGAAATAGAAAATAATGTCGTTGGAAACAAAGATGAGAGTGCGTAGATATTATGTAAAATCACTCCGACTATATGGCATGGAACGCTGGATCAATTTCATGACAGATGAAGAGACTCGAAGCATTGGAGATGCGTACCTCGACAAGAAGGCTACGGATTCGATGGTCAAAGTATGTCAGTAACAAGAAATTTTTAAGGAGAAGTGGAAGAAAAAAGATTTTTTTTTTTTATGGGATAAGAAAGCGAAGAAATAATATGGAAAGAAGGCTTGGAGAATTTAACATTCACGGAAGTTTTCATTCGCACGAAAGCATTTTTATGCTCACTGATCCGAGAAAGTGGTGGGGTACAGCTGAGAATTTCGACATTTGTGAACTAGTTGGACGCCATGCATGGCTTACGAATGGGAGTCTAAATCTGATGAGTCTACTTAAAAAAGAAATTAGCATATTTTGAAATATGATAAATATTTTTATGAACAGAATGAGATAGGTAGGTAGATATATATGAAGAAACTCAGATAGATAGATAGATAGATAGATAGATAGATAGATAGATAAAAAGGATTATGAACAGACATATATATATATATACATATATATATATATATATATATATATATATATATATATATCGACAGAGATGGATAGGATTATGAACAAACTATATAGACAGATAGACATGAAGAGACATATATAGATAGATATGAAGAGACAGATAATAGACAAATAGATAGATAGGATTATGAACAGACATATATATATATATATATATATATATATATATATATATATATATCATCAGATAGAGATAGATATATATTATATAACATATATATATATATATATATATATATATATATATATATATATAGATAGATAGATAGATAGATAGATGTACATGAAGAGACATATATATGAAGAAACTTAGATAGATAGATAGGTAAGATTATGAACAGACATATATATATATATATATATATATATATATATATATATATATATATATATATATATATAATTATTTATTTAAAAATATGATTCCAAATCGCTACATAAGAGGTCTCATGTTTCAAAACAAGAGCCGAAAACTTCAATATAATCCTTTAAATTAAATTGAGTTGGAATTAAAATGGGCTCCGTTCCATCTTCAAGCGAAATTTTTGTTGGAATAACGTATATCTGAAAAGATATATATATATAGCGAATTTTTTGTTGGAATAACGTATATCTGAAAAGATATATATATATAGCGAAATTTTTGTTGGAATAACGTATATCTGAAAAGATATATATATATATATCGACAGATAGTTAGAATAGATATGATTGTGAACAGACTATATATATATATATATATCGACAGTTAGTTAGAATAGATATCATTGTGAACAGACTGATATATATATATATATATATATATATATATATATATATATATATATATCGACAGATAGAGATAGATATGATTGTGAACAGACTGATATATATATATATATCGACAGTTAGTTAGAGATAGATATCATTGTGAACAGACTGATATATATATATATATATATATATATACTAGAGATAGATATGATTGTGAACAGACTGATATATATATATATATATATCGACAGTTAGTTAGAGATAGATATCATTGTGAACAGACTGATATATATATATATATATATATATATATATCGACAGATAGAGATAGATATGATTGTGAACAGACTGATATATATATATATATATATATCGACAGTTAGATATATCATTGTGATATATATATATATATATATATATATATATCGACAGATAGAGATAGATATGATTGTGAACAGACTGATATATATATATATATATATTAGTTAGAGATATATCATATATATATATATATATATATATATATATATAGAGATAGATATGATTGTGAACAGACTGATATATATATATATATATATATATATATATATATATATATATATATATAGATAGATAGATAGATAGATAGATAGATATGAAGTAAGGGAATAATAGCGGGTACCTGAATGTATAGCAGGAAATGAACAGAAGACAAATATTGCTTAGGGGTACAAAGAATAGGAATTTTTTTTAGATCCATGATAACGCACGTCCTGGGGGGACATGGTACATAAAAGAAGATTGAACGCTTTTGATGTTCATTGGCTAGGTAACCATTGTTACTGTTGCTTGGAATATTAATAAAATATTTCAGGATAATAACTTTCAGAACGACCGTATCATGTTGAAACACCGGTTTTCGTCAGATTACAAAGTTAAAAATATTCGTCCTTGGTATTACCTAGATGGATAACATACCTGATGCTGTAAGCTTGGATATGCTGGCTGAATGATCAATAAAGACTCGCAAAGAGAAAACAGCGAGCAAATAATCTTGGGAAACGTATTAATCTATCTCTTCTCCCCAAGCTATGGATTAAATAGCAAAGATCGAGACATGTAGCTTTGGTCGGCAACCAGTATTGCGCAGAACCTAACAACAGCCTATGATCGATAAATGTCATGGTCACTCAATTGTGCATAACGCTGTCATCACAGGAATGAAGGAATATTTTTAAATTCACTATCATTGCATTTTTCTCGTATTTTTGGGAGTCTTCTTCCTAACTGATTGGTAGTAACGTCAATATCTTTTTTGTGTCATTATTATCTCTTCCGGGGTATATGTGATATTCATTTTAATTACTGCTGCTGTATAGAATCCTAAAGTTATGTGGTTTCTGATATTTGGTGAAATCTTTTGTTTGTGTTTCTGTAGCGCGAGTCCAAGAGATACAATGAAGTTTTCATTCGTACAAAACCTCTTTTATGCTCATTGATCTTAAAAAGCGGTTTTATACACCTGAGAATTTAGACATTTCTGAACTAACTGGACGTACATATGAGAATCTAGATCTGATGAGGCTAGTAAAAAAGCAGTTACCATTGCATTAAATATGATAGATAGATATGTTTATAAACAAAGTGAGTTAGATATGAATAAAACTGAGATAGATAGGAAAAAACTCACTTATGAGGAGACATAGATAGATAGATAGATAGATAGATAGATAGATAGATAGATAGATAGATAAGGCGTAATAGACATAGACATATTGATAGATAGATATAAAGGAACTCAGATAGATAGATAGATGAACATTATATATATATATATATATATATATATATATATTGAAATGAGTCAGATAAATAGACAGACTGATAGATAGGGTTATGTACAGACTTAGGAAGTGAGAGAAATACGAAGAAATTCAGATAGATAGATAGATAGATAGATAGATAGATAGATAGATAGCCATGAAGTGACCCCAGACAGATATATTGATTGATAGATATTTCGATAGATAAATAGATAGGATTGTGAACAGATTGAGATATATATATATATATATATATATATATATATATATATATATATATATATATACCGATTGACATAGATATAAAACTATTGAGACAGACAGATAGATAGATATTATTATGAACAGATTGATATATATATATATATATATATATATATGTGTGTGTGTGTGTGTGTGCTAGTGTGTGTGTGAAGCGATTGACAAAGATATCATATAAATGATATTAGATATAAAACCATAGATAGATAGAATATATATATATATATGAAGCGATTGACATAGATATAAAACGATTTAGATAAACAGGCAGATAGATCGATAGATAGATAGAATTATGAACAGTTTGATATATATATATATATATATATATTTATATATATATATATATATAACATATATATATATATATATATATATATATATATATATATATATGAGACAGACAGATAGACAGACAGATAGATTGATGAACAGATAGATATATATATAGATAGATAGATAGAAATGAACGAAGATATAATGGACAGTGATAGATAGATAGATAGATAGATAGATAGATAGATAGATAGATAGATAAAAAAAATAGATGAAATATCACTGATATAAGTATTTGAGTTTGAACCAAGCAAGCAATCAGAGTTGAAAGTGAAACTCTCAAAGAGAGTTCTTCCGCCTTCCCAGGGTGATCAGCACTTTTAGCTTAATGCCTTTCCATGCTAACCCTAGTAAAAATCAGAATATGATGGTTTGTCACTTTCTCTAGAGAAATTGTTAGCAAAGATCTTTTCACAGAGCGTTACTACGGTAATGCTATCGATCTCACTGAGTTGGTCTTTTTTTGTGACCAAAGTTTACTAAAAATAGATGAAAGCCATTAAGATCGATAAGAACTGCCACAACCATGATTGTAAAAAGTACGAAAATGGATAAATAGATAGATAGATATGAAAAGGCTAAGATAGATAGATAGATAGATAGATAGATAGATAGATAGATAGATAGATAGATAGAAATAAACGAAATAAAAAGAAAGAAAGAAAGAAAGAAAGAAAGAAAGAAAGAAAGAAATGAACAGAGATAGATAGATAGATAGATAGATAGAAAGAAATGAACGGAGAAAGAAAGAAAGAAAGAAAGAAAGAAAGAAAGAAAGAAAGAAAGAAAGAAATGAACAGAGATAGATAGATATATTGTCTAACCAAAGCTGTTGGAAGTTGTCTGATGATCTGAAAGGTAAGTTATCCTTTCTTTGATCTCTCTTTCAGGGGTGGCGACTCTGAAGGAGAAATTCGAGTGACGACTTCGAATATCGATCTTGTACATCACATTCACTTACGCGGAAGTACCCATGGGTTCAACCTTTCACCAACTTTGGGCTAAACAGTAGAAATTGTATCATTTTTGTTTTCTGAAATTGTTAAAGCAATATATAAAAAAACAAAAAAAAAACATACAGAATTATTTGTACTATAAAAATATATATATCGGCTCTAAATAACTCACAATCGTTTGAAAAGACGTAAAAAACAATTCCGTCAATCATCTCCTTCTCTGATCATTTTGCATCCATTGTGTAAGATGTCTAGAACGTTGAGAATATTAAAGATCCACAAGCACTTGTTAATCCGTCTGGATTTAATGTGCATAATCTTTATTTAATCTCACCACACTGATGACAAGGATGTTTTTGATCGTCTTTGTAAATGTCATTTCGAGGGATTGAGTGGCATCTTTCAGTCACAAGAGACCATGGATCTCACTCCGAAGATTTATGCCTTGGATAGGGTCTTTTTTTATGAGAGAAAGGCAATTATCCAAGCAGAATATTACCTTTCTCCACGCCACCGATATTATCTAAGGGAAAGAAGCCAATCGAGCTTGGCACCGGCGTCGTAGTAGGGGTTGCTAGAACGAAATTGAACATGACTGTCTTAAGAAAATCCCGGATTTGAATTAAGAGTTGTTCTTCTCCTAGACTGGTTGCCAAACATTACTAAAGGACCTAGTCAGTCCTGGTATTTATCCATATCTGAGGGATAAGATATAGATTCATGCCTTTTCCAAAGGTATTAGCACGTGGGTGAGTGTAATGAATTCGACTGGGATTCGAACTCGGTTCTCCGATTCCTCTTTACGAGCCACTAACTATTTGTATTGACTCAACCCCCCCCCACGAGGTTAGGTTATGAAACAAGGTCGGTTTAATGTGAGGAGCCCGGGCGCGTACACCCGGGCAAGGAACAAAAATTCACCGATCCCCGGCAACCCTCGGTTGCGCTTGCCTCGGTGAGTGCACCGTTACTTCTCTCTAGTGCAATGAGAAGGCGCGGTCTCGGACAGCTGTTCCCCAGGGCCGACACCTCTCAGTATAATTTTCTGAGTTGCCCCTCTGTCCTTTGACAGAGAAGCCCCTGATCCCACCCTGCCCAAAGTCAGAGACGCAGGTGAGAGATGATAAATAGTACGTACAAAATACGTTATAGTAATTTATAGACCGTACAAGCCGCTGACTATTACTCCATGTTGATGAATGTATCGTGCATAAACGCGTGTATCTTGACAGTTTTCGGCGAAAAAATAGGAGAAAAATTCTCATATGTTTCGATTCGTCGTCTAATACGGCTTCTTAAGTTATTTTTTTTTCGCGCGTTGTCTGTTGTAAAAAAAAAGAAAAAGAAAACAAGATATCAAGTAACTCAATTTTATTGATCTTGTTATCACATCGTGAATCCTATCGAACATGGGCGGCTTAGCACATTTCCGAATTGTAGATCGTCACACGATTTTAACTTCCGCTTTGATCGATCGAATTCGTTCGAAAATCGAATGGATCTTTTTTCTTCTAGATACAAGTAGATGCTGAACATTCTTGACCTCGCATAGAAATCCTTGCGAGAAGAAAATATTTGCTCATTTTCGTTAGATATTCAGATGAGATCAAGGGCCGAGAACTTTTCATTATATTCTTAAATAAGAGAATAATTATTTTTGCTTATGATATAATACAATCGAATTCAATCGGAATGTTTGTTTTTTGCTTTTTTGTTTTATTTCTAGATACAGGTAGATATTTGATATTCTTACCCCCACAGTGATCCAAGCGAGATATGTTTTGGTCAGGTTTTAAGATGGCATTTCGAACCGAGAACTTTTCAACATGTAGAATAAATTATCTTGCTTCTTATCAGTAAAAAAAAATGAAAAATAAGAGTACAATCAAAATCAATCGGACCTTTTTTTTCTAGATGTGGGCAGATGCTGAATATTGTCGTTCTTACAAAAAGCTCCTTTGTAGAAGAAAATGTTTGCTCATTTTTGTCAGGTATTAAAATAGTACCTCAAGCATAGACCTTTTCAACACGTCTTTGTATAATACAGTATTTTACTTTATTTATGATATATATATATAGACATTTTTATATTTATACATTCTTTTTATAGATACAAATATTTAAGTAAATGCTCTGTTTTATAATAAAGAGTATTAAACAACAATTACCGGCCTGAATGTCCGAGAAATTTTCATAGAAAATATTCGTCCCTCGACAGGAATCGAAACTGTATCCTATACAGAACCGTCATATAGTCCGACGTGCCTACACCGTTTCGGCCACAAGGGAGCGTTCGGTTAGAAAGGTCGATTTTACTGTCTTTAAACTTTAATCTTCCATGAATCTCTCACGTACATTCATATCTGCTCATGGCAAATCAAATATAAACAAATGACGTCACACACTATGAAATTGACAAAGTCCGGCAATTATTTTAAGACATTTTTACGTTTATACATTCTTTTTATAGATACAAATATTTAAGGAAATGCTCTGTTTATAATAAACAGTATTAACAGCATTTACCGGCCTGAATGTCCGAGAAATTTTCATAGAATATTTTATAAAACAGAGCATTTACTTAAATATTTGTATCTATAAAAAGAATGTATAAAAATAAAAATGTCTTAAAATAATTGTCGGACTTTTGTCCATTTCATATATATATATATATATATATATATATATATATATATATATATATATATATATATATATAGTTAAGTACTTAACTATTAGCTCCTTATAAAATAAAATTATATATATTGATATATATATATTATATATATAGTTCACCTTAACTATTAGCTCGCAAAAATAAGTTATCATTGGATATATATATATATATATATATATATATATATATATATATATTGATACATGTTTCATTAAATGATAGAGACAAGTTTTGTCTATTTATTTTAAGTAAGTCCTTTTCATATTGTGTGATAAGCTTAATAACATTATCATTGAAAGACGAAAGGAAATCACCATATTGATACATGTTTAAATCCAATCTAAGCTTTCGTCTTACATAAGCCATTATCAAAGATGACAATTACATTTCAATATATCAAACAATACACGGACGAAACAATAATAATAGTGCGTTTTTGTTGCATGAAAAATTTCAAACCAACGACAAACTCGTGTATACGAGACGCGGAAGCGAAAATCGCATCGCAGCTCGTGACGTCACACATGACCACGCGAGAATGAAACGAGAAGTATTAAGTATGGGAAGCCGTTGGTATAAACCAATGGCTTCTATTATCAATTATAGGCATTTAAGAATAAATAGAAAAAACTTGTCTATATTATTTAATGAAACATGCATCAATGAAATATTGCTGCCTAAATATACACAATATATATATATATATATATATATATATATATATATATATATATATATATATCGAAATCAAACGGGTGTTTTTTCTTGTAGATACAGGTAGCTGTTGAACTTTCTCGGTCTCGAAAAGAAATCCTTGGAAGAAGAAAATATTTGCTCATTATAAGCCAAAAAAAAAAAATACTAACAAAAACCAAGAGAAATCAATTAAATCTTTTTTTAGACACGGTCCCAAAATGAGATACTTGAAAACGAACATGTTTGCTCTTTTGGGTAGATCTTAAGAAAACTCCTCGGGCCGAAGAACTATTCATTATCTTCGCTTGCATGATATTTATGTGTGTGTATTTAGGCAGCAATTTCTCTTATGGGCAAATCTGATGAAATAAATTGCAAACATGTCTGCTTATTTTTACCATAATCGTTTCATATTCACGTATATTTTCCCGTGTATTCCAATCAAATAATGCAAGAAATGTACTGTAACAGTGAAAATCACTTTTATTTCCAAAGTACTTTCCATCTCTTTCTGAGATCATCATCAGGGGTGCAACTGGTAAGGCAAAAACTATGTGTAGCTCTCTCCATTACTGATTTTTTTCTTTCAGCGTTAGCGTTTATTAGAACGTGAAACAATTATCCATTATGGAAAGTTTCTTTTATGTCGGAATATTATGGTCATCCGCGCATTAAAGCAGGAAAATTGTTCTTTTTATAGACATTTTAGAACATTATTACAGTATTCGTAGATGATTCTATTCAGTGTCAGCTTCAATTTCTTAATGTAGATTGCTTCGAGGATCTGTAGTTTTAATTTCTTATTTTCTTGGTTAGTTGGTCTATTTTTAGGATAGTTGTGTTATCCAACAGTATTTTTCTATACTGTGAATGTCGGACGATTGGCCAGACATGTGTAGAGTAAGACGTTTTGATAATGTAGCCATAGTCGGACGGAAGAATGAAAGGGAATTTTAACTTTTTTCTCTATACGAAATACGCCATCGGCTCCGAGAACTCAGTTCGATTTACTTGAAGAATAATGTTTAATAGCAGTAGGTGATGCTGTATTTTTAAACCCCCTTTCCTTAGAGAGCTTAACCGGATTTCCGGGAGTGTATATATAGTCATCCACAGACTATTTCGCTGTATCACAGCTTCTCAGTGTGGCTAGACGTCCGATTGCTTCAAGCCGGGAACGAAACCCCACTGATTTGACATTAGTCAGATATCTAACCTCTAGGCCATCGTCACACGGCAGAAAAAAGGGAATTTTAACGTTTTTCTCTATAAGAAATACGCCAGCGGCTCGGAGAACTCAATTCAGTTTACTTGAAGAGTAATGTTTAATAGCAGTAGAAGCCGCTGTGTTTTGAAAACAGCATTTCTTTTGAGAGGATGTATCAAACGTAGTTCTTTTCGTTTTCATTTTATTATACAGTGAATTTAATGACAAGCTGATTAAACTTATTCTTACTAAAGAAAAAGTGAACCTGAATGCCTTTTTTTTCCATCGGATAAACTAAAGTTCTTATAAAGTCTT